GGACGCCACTGCAATGCCACTGGGACGCTTTCCCGAGCCTTTCGCATGAGAAAAAGCGTCCCAGTGGCGTCCCAGTAGGCGTCACTTATTGTCATATGGCGGCCCAGTTTCGGTTGTTTCTAATAGTGACTCTAATTTGCTTGTCAAGCCACATGGCACGTTCAGTTCATGAAGTGGCAAGCACCTGTTCAGAAGCTGGGAATGTTGGGAATGTATTCCGCTTTGGCAATGTGCTCAGCAATCATTACGGCGGAAACTGAGACGCTCTCTTCATCACCATGTTTCACAAAACGAGGCTGTGAGGCTGGCGTCAACTTCCAATTTTGCCGAGCAAAGCACTGTCTGTGATGCTCCTACTCGGTCGCTGCCAGGCACGGGAAGCGAGGAGCAACCAGACAAGTTGCAAAACAAGCACAGCATTCAAAAAGCATTTGCTCAAATGTTCCCAATTAGTAACCACACCATCTTCATATTTATTTCATTATTTTAAAACCATGTCCCCGTGTCCAACCACGGCATAACTAGCACCACTTTCTTTATAACAAGTTACTATATTTCCTCACGTTCACAATCATAATAATTTGCTTGGAAGGATTTATGCATAAAACTAATCTGTCTTTGTGCCACTGCCTCCTTGAGTCTTTACGTACTGGTTGTATGCGCAAGAGGGCCCACATTTACGCGGTCTTAGGTACTCTTGCGAGTAAAAATGTAAAGAAATTTTTACTCATAAATACATGTAAACGGTGCCTGTTTCCGCCTCAAAGACCAACCTGCTGTAATGCGTGTGGTCGACTAGACAAGGATCCAGCTATGACACCGTCATAGCCACTGTTACAGTGATGCCAGTGCTAAAGCCACTGTTATAGTAAACGGTGACAACGACCCTTTGCTACATTTATTTGGGGATTAAAAGCACCAGACAGACGTCAGCTCTACGCACCGGCACCCCCCCGCATGTCTCCTTTTCACAACAGCCTCAATTCAAACGACTTGCAGTGCGAAAATGGTCAGAGAGCAACGTTGCATAGTTTCAACAACACGTCGCCCCTCCTTTTGGAATCCCTGACGTCGCCCAAGGGTGCTTGTCACCCCGAGATGAAGCCGCAACAGTCGTCATCTTCCACGCACAGCCGTCAGCGACCAGTGCTGATCTCGTCCTGAGACTAGTCTCGTCCTGACGAATGCATTTTCCAAGACGGAGTTCCCGGCCACCCCCAAAATCGTTCCGTGCACTCCGTCGTTTTAATTCACCGAGAGCACCCCTGCAGAGGTGCCCCCGGCAGTGCGAAATCGCCGCGGATCATTGGGAACGCGCCCCCGTGCGACTCACGGCCCGCGCGCTGCTGTGCCATACACAGGCCCCCTCGGGGGATGGGCTCGCCTCTCCCTTCCCCCCGCCCCACCCCCTACAGCAACTCGCCGTCCGGCCGTCCCTCCCTCCGGGAGCCTCGGAGGCCCCCGCGAAAAAGGGCCCAAGGCGCCGGACTCCCGCCCGAACAGCGGCCCCCGATCGAGGTGAGCAGTCCGGCGAATCCCGTAGTGAACTCAGCGCAAAGCGAGCGAGGAAACGGCTCCGACCGTAGACAGCCACACGCCGGCGCTGTCCTTTAAGAGATGGCTCCAAAGGATTACACTTAGAGCTGTCCGAAGCGGCAATGGGGCCGTCAGTGCGCGCATCGGCGACGCACCCATCGCCGCGAACTCACTGCAGCGCGGGCGAGGGAGCCGCTTCGACTGGTCGCGGCCGCGAGGCGACATCGTCCGTCAGGAGATGCCTCTCAGAGATGTTCCTTATTAGAGCTTTCCGAGGCGGCGATGGCGCCGGCGGCGCGCGCATCGGCGATGCACCTCTGGGTCCGATGGCATTCGGCATGCCGTGGAGTTTGTCTGCATTCCGCGTGGATGGCCGCGACATGAAAAACCAGGGCGAAGAAATGTCGTCTGAAAACATCCCAGCGTCGCTCCGGCGAGCCTCCTCGACCATTACACCTAAACAGGCGGCGATGGCGCCCGTTAGACGCGGCAACCATGTGGCCCCTTGCAAATTCCATCCGCAATCGCCCGGTGGGGTGGGTGCGCGGCCCGTGGTCGATTGTCCACACCACACCTCGAGAGTTAGGCCGACAGCTTGAGGCGCTCTCGGCCACCGACAGGGCCCCTTGGCCTGCGACGGCTCTTCTTTACGAGCGCGTCGCCTTGGGGAGGGCGAAGGTGGGCCGGGCACTGGCGCACCCCGTTTCTTGTTTCGCGTGTTTGCGTAACACGCGAACGATGCTCTAGAGAGGGGAGCGGTGGACGCGGTACGTTAATTCTTGATGCGTCGATGGGTTTCTCGCAACGCGCAAACGGGAGTGGGGAGGTCACCCCAAATCTCCCATGCTCTCGCCCGTTGTGGCAAGAGCAAACACTCGTTACACCACCAGCCCTTATCATGACAAGGCCAGATATTGTCCCTCTCTTCGATGGTTCGAGAACTCACCCAAAGGCGGCAGCCCTCTACCTATACTTTACAGATACTGAATGAAATCCCGCGTCCCACTAATATCGTCGACCGTAACAGGTACAGACGCTACAGTGCTGGGCACAGCGCCCGCTGTTTGTGTCTCTGGAGTGCTGGCTGGGGCTTGCCCCTACATCGCCAAGGCAGTGGGCGGGCTGCTCCGTGTCCAGAGCACAGCAGCACCGCCCAATGTCGCGGGTTTGGACATGTTTTCCAAGTTCGGAGTGCAATTACGTAATTTGATGTATGGTTTGATTGGGATTTGATATGAATCCTGATGTTTCGTTGTTCCGCCGCAGAATTCCTGAGGTGCAGCGGATGACACAGGAACGGCCTCGAGGGCATGGCGGCAGATGGGGCTGTACCTGATGGGCGACAAGTGCGGACTGCACATTCTGAACCATTTCAGTTTCGGTAACAGAATTGAAAACTGGGAACCGAATTGATTGGATGTCATGTATCAGTTGAACCATTCTGGAATGTCGCAGAATAGTAAAGTAATATGATTCTTTCACCACACATAAGTACTGCACACATCCCCGTATGTGACCAATCAGGCAGTGTTCCATTTTTCAACGCGTTTACAACAGAACTGCCGATAGTGCACAACCTTGGAATTACCAAGAATCAAGCACAACATTGACGCATATTGAACAATTGTTAGCGGCTATCAGCAGGTACAGATCGAGAATCCTTTTGGCGGCTGGGGTCGGCTGCCCTTTCATATTCTGGACGCCATCCTGTCAAGGTCTCAAGCCCCGGGCCATATTGAATCAGATGTCCCAGACAGGATTGTACGGGAAATCTCTGATGACGACCTGAAAAGCGACGCCACCGGCAATAACATGATACGGCACGCGAGGCTGGTGAATCGGCACTGGTGCCTGTGGGCGAATGCCGCCACCCGCTCCCTGGAGCCTTACCCGGTGACGGGCGTACCCCTGGAGGCCATGCTGCAGGTAGATATGCACAGATTTTGGGGCATTTCCAAATCCAACAGGAAACAATAGATAGGAATAGGGTTGTTTTTAGGATTGGGAATTTCGAAAATCGGGAAGTAAGCGGCCGTTTTGTAAAAGCAGAGGCGTGAGAAACTTTGCCAGTAGTCAAGGATTAATGGATGCTGCTTGCTCGGGGGCAATTACTTCCAGTACTGAGCGGGCTTCAAGAAAAAAACAAAACATCCAGCATTCGCAGTTTGCTGCACCGTTGTCTGAAGCAATCTACAGATAATGCTGATGGTTGCCCATCAAATTAGCAGATGGCGTTAAACGTTGATTAATTTGTTGAATGAAGAGGTGGCAATGACGTCGCAGGTGGCGTCCGTTAAATTTGCCCACCTTTCAAGACTGAGGCTGTCAGACCATTTCACCGTCAACAGTGCGACTCTGAGCCACCTGCAATGGGCGACCGGTCTCAGACGTCTCACCCTGAAAGGATGCTCTCAGGTGATGACGCGACCCCACAGCGGGAACCAACATTCTTCTGAATAATCCTGACAATCCAAGTATTGAGACACGTAACTTGTTGCCAATTTTCTCTTCTGCTTATTATTGTATCATTGTAGCTACGCACTTAAAACTGACGAATTGCAGCAAGTTGCTAACGTATGTTCTACAGATGCATCATATGAATTGCGTAAGTTTTAGTGATGTAGCACATGCGCTTGACCGAGTGTTATTTGACCCTTTCGTGGAATTATTGCAAGCATGAAATTGGCCACTTCCAGTACTTTCATTACATGATTAATTCGCGTGCGACATATGGGAAATTTGCATTGAGGCTGCAAGCCACATGAATTGCAGACCACCAACAAAACGTGCAATATTCGCAATGTTTTTGAATTTAACTTTTAGATGCACTGCATCACCAGTAGTTTGCCGGTGCATAGAGCAACGTACCACTGCATAGGGAGTCTGTCTTTTAAAGTATTTGAGGAACTCGTGCGGTTTGCTCAGCATATTGGCTGAGGGCAATGCGCATATGCGCAGCGAGAATTCACGCGCAGCGTGACAAATGCAATTGATAAAAGAAAATTCAAAGCTGAAGCCAAGGATTTAAACCTGAAAATTGCTTTCTGCAGGTCACGGACGACTCCTTGGCCGGCCTGTCAGCCTGCCTGAACCTCGCCCACCTCGACCTGGCCGCATGCCGGGCCATCACTGGCACGGGCCTCTCCTCTCTGTGCCCCCTCACGTCCCTCTCCACCTTCTCTCTCTCCCACTGCTCCCGCCTCACGGACGCCGGCCTCCTGGCCCTCCCGCCCCTCCCCTCCCTCTCCACCCTCGACCTCAGCCACTGCCCACGGCTCAGCGACTCTTCTGCAAGGTCCTTGGGGTCCCTTCCCCGCCTGTCCCGCCTGTACTTAAACGGCTGCCGCCGCCTGGTGGAGGCTGCGGGCCTGGCGCGGTGCTCGTCCCTGTCGGCGCTCGACCTCAGCGGCTGCCATGGTTTGGAGGACGCATTCACATTACACCTCGGCGCTCTGAAGTCGCTGGAGGACCTGATCCTGTCTGGATGCGCTCAGGTCACTGACGCAGGATTGTCTGGATTTCCATTCTGCAGCAATCTGACGTCCATATCGCTGTGCCATTGTTTTGCCGTCACCGACGCGGGGGTGGAGAGGCTCAGGTCGCTGTCAGCGCTGCGCCACGTGGGTTTGTGGCACTGCGCCCTGGTCACGGACGCCGGTTTGGACAGCCTTGGAGCGATCAAGTCGCTTGCTTCAATTGATCTGGGCGGGTGCAAGGCGGTCACAGACGTTGGTGTCGAGCGCCTGTCGGGGCTGCCCAGCCTGGCGAGGCTTGGGCTCAACTTCTGCGCCGACGTCACGGACCGGGGCCTTGGGGCCCTGGCGAGGCTGGTGAGTTTGCGCGAGGTGGACCTGACGGGGTGCGTGAGGGTCACGGACGTGGGCGTGGGGATGCTGTGGGGGCTGGGGGAGCTGAGGCGGCTGAGGCTGGACGGGTGCTGGCGGGTCAGCGCGGCGCGGGTGCGGGCGTTGAGCCGGGAGAGGGGGGTGAAGGTGGCCTGGGGTGGGCTGTGTTTCGGGTCGTGAATTGCGGTGCCCTGCACTGGCAGTACATTGCCTATTCCACGGTTTTTCCAGCTGCGTTTAAACCTAACTAGAGCGCTATCGCGCTGCGTGTATTTGGTTTGCAAAGTGCCAAAATGAGACCGAATCGTGTTCTCCTGGTCACGACTTGGGTGCCTATTTGACCTAGTTTTAGGTGGTTTGGGAATCGCGAATCGGGAATCGGGAATCGGGAAGGGTGTGTGTGTGTTGCTGAGGTTGAAGTGCCGGCCATTTGGGTATTCCGGAATTAGGATGGGATGCTGTCGATTGGCGACGTGGAGGTCGGCTGTTGCGGGTTGAATCGCCTCTGGTTGCACCGCTATAATCACACGACCCACGAAAATTGCGTGTGTCAACACAAGGTGGGGAGCCGTCTTTTCAACAAGGAAGCGCCGGCGGGGACCCTTTTCATCCTTTCAACCAAAAAAAATCGTCGCAAAGTCAGGCATTGCTGGGGTATTTTGGTGCATGTATATATGTTTGCGTGTACACAGAGTGCGCGGGAGTTTGGCGTAATACGGAAGAGGTTAGAGCTTGAGTGTCGCTTGGCATGAATTTGCTTGCTTCCTTCAGGAACTTTGGCTGTGTGGCGCTTTTTTTTGTATGCGACAGTTGGGGCCTTGTGCTGCTGATATTGGCGATGAAGAGTTATGAGAATTGCGGATTTGGGGGCTGAAAAGGAATTCAGGGGAAGGGAAAACAAATATAAAAGGAAAGAAAAGGGGAAAAAACGGAAGCACACTGGTGTATTCGGCGGCTGCGTGGCCAAGCCAGCACGTGGAGTCGTGTCTGTTCGTTGGAAGATTCTGAATTGGCATCGTATGTCACCTCCACCCATTCGCCTGCATCGCGCAGCTCTCTGCGGCTGGCGGAGCCGTCGCCCTACCTCGTCCATCGAAATATGCGCCGTCAGGCCCACTCAGAGCTGTGTTCTTCACCTAATCAAGCGTCCGTCAAGTTCAATCTAGGGGTTGTCCCAGTTTTAAGCCCACATCCCAGGTGTGGTCACGGCTGTTCTATCATCCATCCCCGATCCCACGCGCGCATCCGGTGAGCCAATATGCCACCACATCATTGTGACTTCGCACGGCACATTCACCTTGATGCGTTGCGGTCCAGCCTGAGCCCAACGATGGCCGCAGGGTCACCGATTCGCCCCACTTGACCACCCTGGCAGGGAGAAGCGCTGCGAGAAAGTACTGCAAAGTACACAACTTCATGCCAGTCTTTCCCAAATCAGAGTTTTGGGGAATGCAGCCAGCGCGCGTGAGTGCAGTCTTTCCAGTCCTTCGCCGAGATAGCCGGCCTATAAATAGTGCCGCGTCTACCGCGCCATCGCAATACGCGTTCTAAATTGTTCCTATGCCCTGCGCGACGATCCCTACAATGCCCCATTCTTGCGGCGCCGTCAGAAGTCATTGTGGCGAATTATTATCATCACTGACGCCATTAATAATGACGGAATAATGCCATTATCACGAATTACAATTCGTCCGCGACGGATTTTGCCTTCCCCGCGGACCAGCGCAGGCGCCGCTGCAGGCCCGCCAGGAGGGCGGACGCCTTCCCCCTGATGATCTCCCCAAAGGCGTCGCCGCCCAGGCCGGCCTTCATTCTGCGCACTCGAGCAGGACCAAGGAGCTTGATGATGTTCCACCCCAGGCCGGGGGCGCTCTGCATGGCATGGCCTGGGACGCAAGCCAGCAAAACCCCGTTCACACTTGAGAACAATTGTGTGGGCTGCCCCGCGCAGTCATGCCGAGATTATCATCAACATTCAAATGACGTTTCTTCCAAGATGCCCACGAGCGACGAGGCACAAGGGGCGGCGGCTATCTGGCACAAGCAATGCATTCGAGCAATTTGATAGCGTGACTTGGTCGCCTCACTCCACTGCGCATCGTCTACAGTACTGTGCGGCAATGCATCACTGACTGGTGATACAGAGAACGCGTGAATCGCCCAAGCAAACTGCTTGACTAAGCTTATTGGTCTTGTGCGTAGTGCTGGCGGTGCGAACAGAGTCACTAGTCTTGTTTGCTATCTTAATTCGCTTCTGCCATACCCGGGACCCGGCCATTGTGCTAAACTGGTACATGGTTCAGTAGTTAACAGCGCTGGTTTCCGCTACTTCTTTGTCAACAGCTGTTTGCAAGCAACCAGATCGTTCGCTTTCGCCATAGAATTTGCAATAAACACTACACAAAAAAAACAATGGAAAATAGAATTAGACCACTATAAACATCAATTTATGGGCTTGCATCTGTCCGTGTTGTCACCGCAGCGATTGCTGCCGTTCTCTAAAGTAGGCTCCTTCCGACCGCTCACCCATGAACAGCAGCGGCTGCTGCGACACCCAGGACTCGTCCAGCCCGTATGCGGCGGCGGTGGCAATGAGCTCGGACACCCTCAGCGCGTTCATGGGCCCCACCAGACTGGTCCTGTTGAACGCCAGCGATCCGTCTGGCCTGATCTCCACGTTGGGCACGCCGTCCTTGAAGGGCGCGATGGGACCGGGGCAGCACACCGTCGCTCCCACGCCCCTGCGGCAAGCCGATGCTTAAGGCCCCTCGTTTCATGACGTGCCTGTGAACTGTTCGAGGTACAATTGAAGCGTCTATGGATGAATGTTGTTGCGCTTACATCGCAGATGTTCTCGAGGTCATTAAATGCCCATTCTTCCACCCGATTTTTTTCCCCACGGTGCGAGAAACATCGTGGCCAATTTGCGCCAGGACGCTGTCAGCCGCTTTCCGGATTGCGCATCTGTTTTGCTGTTGTGTTCAATATTCGCAAATACGCATCTCCTGATCAGCAAAAGTCAAGCTTGATAACGTTGCCTTGTGAGGCCCCATCTTATCAATTTCTACATGACTAACTTTAGCCAAGGACAGCCCTTTTTCTTTCTCAAGCATACCCATGCTGTCGTGAAGAGTGCGCTGGCTGCGTTCTCCATTCCGACAGCGACACTTGCGCATTAACAGAAATTCAATATAACTGTATATTATATATATATATATATATATATATACTATATATATTATAAAATATATTGTAACTATACAACTGTATATAATATATAACAATTTACAGTGGCCAATGCATAAACCGAGGAATGGTGACCACCTGGCCACACGCGTGAATAGTCTATCACTTCCGCGAAGGAAGATAGTCGTTTGATCCGATCAGGGTGCGCTCACGTGTCCGCCAGTTCCGCTTGGACGGTATTGAAGAAGTTTAGGACAGCCGCCTTGGCGCCTGAGAGCAATGCAATGCACATGTTAAGAAGCCAGGATCCTGAAATCCGAAATCAATGGCAGCTGCGATGAATATCCAATTCCCCACGGTCGTCCGCTTTCCTAAAATGCAGACTTGTCAGTCTACAGCTGGGAAAACACAACGAGTTCTTCTACACGGCCCATTACGGCGCTTGGCATCACAGCGATTATCATGAGTATAGCATAAGTTTAGCGTTAGTACTGTCTGCCCCCGTGCTAGCATTAGAATGTATATGACGCGAGCATCAGTATCATAGTCAGCGTCAGTGTCAGTGTCATTATCATATCGATGTCAGCATCAGTAGCCGCGCGCCTGTGGTTGTGTTGGCACTGGCGTTGAAGGGGAGGTGGTGTTCAGTGCGGGGGAAACGTCGGCGCGCACGTGGCCCTACTCATGAGGCCACAAGAACAGAGGTTATGTCCATCTTTGGGACAACATTCGCGGCCCACGTGCAGCAACATTGCTGACGTGGCAGGTGCCGACTTGCTCAACGATCCAACACAATGCGAATGTGCTGCGAAACGCATACACGCAATGCACATAATGCACGTAAAATGTACTGCCAGTATGGTTTACGTAATTCGTTGCAAACTTAATACCTGCGTACAGTGCCTGTCCCGGGGACGGTATCTTTGCAGCCATGCTGGAAACAACCACGAAGCGGCCCGATCCGGCTTCGAGCATCTTGGGCAGGAGGATCTGAGCTATGCGGATGGGCCCTAAGGCATTCAGGTCAAACATCTTGTTGACCATGTCGGGTTCAAACTCCTCCACAGGGTTGAATTTCGTCCAGCCTGTGTGCAAGCACGACACACCCATATCGCACAACTGGGTTGAATGTTCAATACTTCCAAATGTTTCAAAATTACTCAGTAATTTGCAATGTGTCCTGCGCAGTGGAATGGCTGTAACGGATCATTGTTTGCCCATTCCACAGCACATTCTGAAACAGAGGCCCGTCGTTGCTGGTCGCTTCTTAACGACGCTGTAATCGAGCTGCCATCCAGGGAAGGAGAATGGCGTTGAACGGGATTCAATCAAACAGGCATTGGCAAAATCTGAATGGAAAGCGACAGGAGTCTGACTGGCATTGAAGGGGAACACACAACACCCTAAACTCGGACGAAATCCCATACAATGGAATGAAAATAAAATGAGCAACTCGTGTGGATTGTGTGCCAATCGAATGGGATCGAGTCTTGAATCTAATTGCCACCCATGAACAACAAATTTGATCCAATCCGAAGCAACAATAGAAATTAAATCTACATGACGTCCGGCTACCTGCGGGCTTCCCGCCCAGACACATTCACTGATGGAAGGAAATACCATATTACAAACAACGAAGTGAGTGTTCCCAAAATATCTCCCAAAATATCTCGTTCGTTGAAGAGTGTTGTGTAAACTACTAGGGGGTAGCCGGTTTACTTAACTTAGATACTGGGAAGTGATAATGGACACAAGATTGTACCTAAATGGGACAGAGGAGGCTATTAGCTTTCCATAGGTCTTTGAATCATCCCAAACGGGTTAGCGGTAGAGGAGCTATGGCTTATAGAAGTTCCAGTACTTAAGGTTGGGCCCCTACCGTACTCGGGGATGAGATATTATCGATACGGGTACATTCGATACACTGTTCTGTCGATTGTGTACCGCTGCGTGTGGGGGTCATGTGACCGACCCCGCACGACAGCCTGTAATTCCATTGTGCCCACTCTCGCCTCCCAGCGGCTGCACCCGCAGGCCGCAAGGCGCCGTGCGCACCCACTGCGCGTACGGCCGCCCCGCGCCCGGCCAATCCGCAGGCCTGGGCCCACACTACGCATCCGAAGAAGACGAGCGCCCCGCAAGGCCCGCCGGCCATCCGGCGGAGGGGGCCCCGCGGCCCCATCGGGCGCCTCGGCGGGCGCATCGCCCGCGAACACACCGAAAACCACGCCAGGTGGTTTCGGAGCCGGCGAGCGCGGACGGCGGAAGCGTGCCACGCGGCGCGAGAGCAAGAGGGGGGAGCCCCACCCGCGAGGGGGCCCCCCAATCGACGGGATCTTGGGGACATCGGCCGGCCAGGCGACGGCACCCGTGAGGGGTGCGGCCTAAATCGGCCCGGATCGGAGACCAGACCGCGCGCCCGGCCCCGTGGGGGGAGGCACATGTTGTTGCATTGAGAAAGGAACTGGCGAGGTGGGGAGAATCTCCCCGCAGATTCCGCCGCGAGCGGGTCGATTGGAGCGGCGCACCGCCGCGGAATCGCGCGCTGTGACCGGCGGTATGAAGGCGCGGATCGGGAGCGCCAGGGCCAGGCGCGGGCCGGCGCAATCGGCCGCGTGGGCCATCGGGTCGGGCGGCGAGGAGCGCCAGGACCCCGGAGGGGGGTGAGGCGCAGCGGCGTAGCAGACTGACCGCCCGTCCCGCGACCCTGGCTGCGCAGTGGCTGACTGGACTGCGTGTCGGGCGTGATGTGACAGCGGAAGCGGTGGGAAGCGACCCCGGAGTGACGTGAGGGGGTCTGTTGCGTGTCGGACGAGTCAGGTCGCCGGGTGGGTGCCGAATAGCGCCCATGACCAGTACAAACTCCCGGGGGGGTGCCGAATAGCGACCCCTGGGGGGTGCTGGCTGCCGGGGGTGTGGAATAGCGACCCCTGGAGGGGGCCTGGTGGCAGGGTGTGTGCAGTGGCGACCCCTGCACAGTACTATTAAGTACTGGGACCCAAGTGGAGCTGGAAGGGCGACTTCTAAGAGCCTCTGAGGAAGCTTCTGACTACCAGAAGATGTGGCCTGACTACCTAGCAGCTGCATTGGAGTAGCTGAGGAGGTATCCTTGACCTCCTTAGCGGGTGGAGAGCAGTGCCATAGGAGCAGCTTCCTTGGAGTAGCTGAGAGGGTCCCTTATCCTTCTCAGTGGGTGGACAACAGCAGACAACAGCTTCTCTGGAGCAGCTGAGGGGTCCATAAACCCCCTTAGCTAGTGGATAGCAGCTTCTCGGCGACTGGAGCTGACAACCCCTACATTCGCCCAACGACTTTGTGTGGAGTACGACAGCTCCCCAAGAGGCTCAGTAGGGTGCCCAAGCGAGCCCTGAGGCCCGGTAGGGTGCCCGTGCACGCGGGCCCGGGAGCCTCCGGCGAGGCCGGAAGTGTTGGTTGTTTAGGGGCCGTCGTCCCACTTTCCGTTAGGGCAATAATTGGCCAGGAGGTCGGGGGGCGAAGGGCTGAAAGTCACGGACTGTACCTGACCAGCCTAGACAACTGTGAAGGGTTACAGGCCCGCCTGGTGGCAACAGTACCTTATCCAGAAAAAAGGCTGACCCCAGGTTGAAGCCGGCGGCCGCCCCACAGTTGTTAGGGGGGTGCAAGTAGAAGTGGGTAGACGGGACATGGACCGGCTTGCACCTTACATAGCCCCATAGGCAGCGGTCAGAGTGGGAGCTCTTGGTGCCTATTGCTCGCAATACAGGGCAGTAGGGGAGTGGCCTATAGTGCTGCGCAAACACCCCTATTGTTCCTAGCCTAGACTAGTGCCCCCCGAGCTGCCATCCGAGCGAGCGGTGGCGGAGGGGCTTCGAGCGGGTCAGGACGTGAGGCAGTTGTGTGGCCGTTCCCCGGGAAGTCCTCCCCAGGCAAGGGGGACAGGAAAGGTTCAGTTTCTGATCAACTGGTGGCATTCCCGGGGGTGTGGCAGGGAAGCCTCTCTTTAGAGGGGTGAGTAAAATACTCTTTGAGTATTCTTAAATTCCCTGTTGCTAACCTAGGAAGAAACTGGTTGTAAAGGGCTGTTCTGGAACTGTTGTGGTGAAGCCATTTGGCACCTTGTTGGTTGGGGAAGTATAGTACCCACTGGCTTGGAGACGTCATTTGGTGGATCCTGGGGCTTCTCTGAGCGATATCAGGGACTACGCTCTGGGATATACCCAGGGTTGGACCTCCGTGCGGTCAGCCTACGGTCTACCTCGGTATCAGTTATCAGCATCAGTCAGTTTCATCAGTTGTGCCGGGATTTGGGACGCAGTGCCGGACATTGGGACATTGTTGACATTCCTGCCATTCTTTATTTATTTGCTCTGCCATTCTTCGTTCGTTCGTGAGGCGAGTCCATTATGACTGACCAGATGGATCATCATCAGTGTTATGGGACAGTGAGGGAGCCCATGGGGTCAGATTTTCGATCAGACGGATGTTTTGCAGCCAGTTCTGGTGCACAGACAGAACTGCAAGCTGGACCTATCTCGGGTATGCTGGTTAGACCAGATGTTGACCAGCTGAGACCACTCTCTCCACTTTCTGCTGGATTTTTGTCGGTAGTTCAGCAGGGAGACCGACAGGACATGGGAGAGACCGTAGGACCCAGTACCTCACATTCTTTGCCAGTTTTGCCTCAGCATACGATGGCTGATCAGACAGACGGTCACTGGAGGTTTTCACAGCCATTGAGATCGACACTGCCGCGTCATTCGGCCTCGAACTTGACGGTACAGATCAAACCGCGTGAACCACCCTTGTTCACCGGGGATAAAGGCCAGGACGTGAACTTTTGGCTCAGAACTGTCGAGAATTACCTCGATTTTGTGCAGTGTTCTGAACGCCAAGCAGTGTCATACATCATTTTGCAGCTGGCGGGCAATGCGAGGATTTGGTGGGATGCAGAGCTTGTTTCACGGGGGAATAAAAAGCCTAAAACGGTGGAGGACATCAAAAACCTCCTAAAGACGCAGTTTGAGAGTCCCGTGAGGGAAACACGCGCGAGGCTTGAGCTTCTCCGTTTATATCAGCGTCGGGGTGAGGATGCGCTTTCGTACATGGGGCGCATGAGGTCCTTGATGAACAGAGTGCCGGGATACGATGTGAAAACGGCCCTGCATCAATGGATCCTTGGTCTTAGGCAGCCATTCAGGCTGGAAGCTGCCAAAGCCAACCCTAAAACGTTGCATGAGGCTGAGAGGTTGGTCGCTCGATTGGAGGATGCCTATGAGTACTATTCGTGCGGAACAGAGGATGTGAAAAGAAAAGGCTCCTCGTGCAAGACAATCAGCGACAGGCAGAAAGGCAGGAAGGCAGGAAAAAGAGCCAAGAAAAGTGGCAAATCTCAATGTCAAACGAATAAGAAGGAAATGCTGCCAAAGTCTACTGGTTACCGTTCATCCACAGTAGATTCGTTCCCAGGATCACTATGCGGGAAAGGGCACACTGTCTCAGCCCGTCCCCCTCAACAGCATAAGTCACAGTTCCACCCGAGACTAGATGCTGGAGGGTCTGGACACCGTGGACAGGGCTTGAGCCAGGGAAAGCCCAGGGTGGTTGTGATTACCACCAGGACAGGACTCAGAGGGATGGCCGGTCAGATGAACCGGGAGGAGGCTCGGCATGCCTCCGTGTCAGATGGGTGCTTCCTTGCATCAGAGGCAAGGAGACTGACTGAATTCAGCTCTGTTCAGTCAGAACAGTACCCAGTCATCATAGCCCAGTCTTGCCAGAAAGACTGGACTACACAGACATACCTCAGTGCGTGGCAGAAAAAGCGCCAACTTCGGTCGAGGCAGTGGCGGCGCAGGGTGGAGAGATGTCGACGTCGACGGAGACGCCATGCAGCACAGAGGGCTACCTTAGCTTCCCATGGGCAAGCTGTTGGGGCGCCTGCAAAGGCGACTGAATTCCTGTCAGACATGGCGGGAGTCCCCAAATGCCTGATTCAGCGGAAGGAAGCTACTACTGAGCTCATTGCTGAGGGGAGGTCAGACCCTGAGCCAGTAGCACGGGAT